CTGGACTTCTTCTAAATTCACAATGGTTGACGCCTTAAGGGAGATAATACTTACACTGTAACACCAATCACAGGTATCATATGAAAAGTAGGATAAACTCTACATTCAAAAGGAAGATAACAGTAACACAAAAAAAACCAGGTACAATGTGGAAAATGATGAATATTCAAGGGAGATAACACTGTTACCTGTCAAAGTGTGATGTGTAAAATCAGATACACTAAAACACTTCAGGGGAGATAACACTGGTACCTGTCCAAGTACGATGTATAAAATCAGATACACTGAAACACTTCAAGGGAGATAACACTGTTACCAATCAGAGTACAATGTGTAAAATCTGATACACAGAAATACTCAAGGGAGATAACACTGTTACAAATCCAAGTGCGATGTGTAAAATCAGATACACTGAAACACTTCAAGGGAGATAACAATGTTACCAATCAGAGTACAATATGAAAATCATATACACAAAAACACTTCAAGGGAGATAACACTGTTACCAATCAGTGTACAATGTGTCAATTCTGATACACTGAAATCTTCAAGGGAGATAACACTGTTACCATTCCAAGTGCGATGTGTAAAATCAGATACACTGAAACACTTCAAGGGATATAACACTGTTACCAATCCGAGTACAATGTGTAAAATCAGATACACTGAAACACTTCAAGGGATATAAAACTGTTACCAATCAGAGTACAATGTGTAAAATCTGATCCACTGAAATCCTCAAGGGAGATAACACTGTTACCATTCCAAGTGCGATGTGTAAAATCAGATACACTGAAACACTTCAAGGGAGATAACACTGTTACCAATCAGAGTACAATATGAAAATCAGATACACTGAAACACCTCAAGGGAGATTACACTGTTACCAATAATAAGAAACTTAAATCACCCTATAGACATATCATACGCAATTGTATTGATATTGAATCGTGGAATACAATTGAAATGTTTATTAAAAGTTCAAAGTACTACTTTGTTTGCCAATCAGCACGCGACAACACGCTGTTCCAACTATTTAACGAATTTGTGTAGACTGTCGATATGGCGGGAATTTTAAACTTTGAATATAAATTGTAAGTTAAAAAAGAACATATAAAGGGCAGAGAAAACGTAAATATAAGTATTGAACTGTTCTTGTATGGTATTTAAATGATCTTACACAGCTTTGCAAGCAAACAAATAATAATGCGCTAGCATAATGCAAAATTACAACGCAGCAATTGTTTCGTTTACGTAAAAATTAAATAAATCTTTAACTGTGCATTTACAACGTGTTTGTCTCCTTTTTTAAATTAAAATATAAAGAATGCCCAATAGTTTGTTTTGGTATATACGGTATATACCGAAAATAAATTGTGCACTTTTTGGCATAAACGCTTCGCGGATNTTATTGTGCACTTTGCATAAATCTGCGAAGCGGTTTATGCAAAAAAGTGCACAATTTATTGGTCATTGGTCAAAATATTGGTCATTCCTTAAACAGTACATGTTGTGGGTTATCTTTCTACATTACATGTTGAGGGTTAACCTTTCTACTATTTTAAGGGTTTTTCTTTATAATGGTGTGAGTTATCTTTCTACAGAACATGTTGTGCCTTATTCTTTCTAAATGTTGTTGGTTATCTTTCTACAATACATGTTGTGGGTTGTCCTTTCTACAATGTAAGGGTTATTCTTTATAATGGTGTGAGTTATCTTTCTACAGAACATGTTGTGCCTTATTCTTTCTAAATGTTGTTGGTTATCTTTCTACAGAACATGTTGTGCCTTATTCTTTCTAAATGTTGTTGGTTATCTTTCTACAATACATGTTGTGGGTTGTACTTTCTACAATGTAAGGGTTATTCTTTATAATGTTGTGGGCTATCTTTCGACAGTACATGGTGTGAGTTTTCCTTTCTACAATGTAAGGGTTTTTCTTTATAATGGTGTGAGTTATCTTTCTACAGTAAATGTTGTGGGTTGTCCTTTCTACAATGTAAGGGTTTTTCTTTATAATTTTCTAAATGGTGTGGGTTATCCTTTCTAAATGCTGTGGGTTATCCTTTCTAATTGTTGTGGGTTATCCTTTCTAATTGTTGTGGGTTATCTCTCTACAGTACATGTTTTGGGTTATCTTTCTACATTACATGTTGAGGGTTAACCTTTCTACTATTTTAAGGGGTTTTCTTTTTAATGGTGTGAGTTATCTTTCTACAGTGCATGTTGTGGGTTATCCTTTCTAAATGTTGTTGGTTATCTTTCTACATTACATGTTGAGGGTTAACCTTTCTACTATTTTAAGGGTTTTTCTTTATAATGGTGTGAGTTATCTTTCTACAGAACATGTTGTGCCTTATTCTTTCTAAATGTTGTTGGTTATCTTTCTACATTACATGTTGAGGGTTAACCTTTCTACTATTTTAAGGGTTATTCTTTATAATGTTGTGGGTTATCCTTTCTAAATGGTGTGGGTTATCCTTTCTAAATGGTGTGGGTTATCTTTCTACATTACATGTTGAGGGTTATCCTTTCTAATTGTTGTGGGTTATCTCTCTACAGTACATGTTGTGTGTTATCTTTCTACAGTAAATGTTGTGGGTTGTCTTTCTACAGTACTTGTTGTTGGTTATCCTTTCTAAATGGTGTGGGTTATCTTTCGACAGTACCTGTTATGCGTTCACCTTTCTAAATGTTGGGGGTTATCTTTCTACATTACATGTTGAGGGTTAACCTTTCTACTATTTTAAGGGGTTTTCTTTTTAATGGTGTGAGTTATCTTTCTACAGAACATGTTGTGCCTTATTCTTTCTAAATGTTGTGTGTTATCTTTCTACAGTGCATGTTGTGGGTTATCCTTTCTAAATGCTGTGGGTTATCCTTTCTAATTGTTGTGGGTTATCCTTTCTAAATGTTGGGGGTTATCTTTCTACATTACATGTTGAGGGTTAACCTTTCTACTATTTTAAGGGTTTTTCTTTATAATTTTCTAAATGGTGTGGGTTATCTTTCGACAGTACCTGTTATGCGTTCACCTTTCTAAATGTTGGGGGTTATCTTTCTACATTACATGTTGAGGGTTAACCTTTCTACTATTTTAAGGGTTTTTCTTTATAATGGTGTGAGTTATCTTTCTACAGAACATGTTGTGCCTTATTCTTTCTAAATGTTGTGTGTTATCTTTCTACAGAACATGTTGTGCCTTATTCTTTCTAAATGTTGTGTGTTATCTTTCTACAGTGCATGTTGTGGGTTATCATTTCTACAATTTCAAAAGTTATTCTTTATAATGGTAGAAAGGATAACCCTCAACATGTAATGTAGAAAGATAACCTACAACATGTACTGTTTAAGGAATAACCAAGATTTTGTTTTGGTATATACGGTGTATACCAAAAATAAATTGTTCACTTTTTGGCATAAACGCTTCGCGGATTTATGCAAAGTGCACAATAATTTTTCGGTATATACCGTATATACCAAAACAAAATCTTGGTTATTCCTTAAACAGTACATGTTGTAGGTTATCTTTCTACATTACATGTTGAGGGTTAACCTTTCTACTATTTTAAGGGTTATTCTTTATAATGGTGTGGGTTATCCTTTCTAAATGCTGTGGGTTATCCTTTCTAATTGTTGTGGGTTATCTCTCTACAGTACATGTTTTGGGTTATCCTTTCTACAGTACATGTTGTGGGTTATCCTTTCTAAATGTTGTGGGTTATCTTTCGACAGTACATGTTGTGGGTTGTCCTTTCTACAATGTAAGGGTTATTCTTTATAATGGTGTGGGTTATCTTTCTACAGTACATGTTGAGGGTTATCCTTTCTACTATTTTAAGGGTTTTTCTTTATAATGGTGTGAGTTATCTTTCTACAGTACATGTTGTGGGTTATCTTTCTACAGTACTTGTTGTGGGTTATCCTTTCTAAATGTTTTTGGTTATCTTTCTACAGTACATGTTGAGGGTTATCCTTTCTACTATTTTAAGGGTTATTCTTTATAATGGTGTGGGTTATCTTTCTACAGTACATGTTGAGTGTTATCCTTTCTACTTTTTAAAGGGGTTTTCTTTATAATGGTGTGGGATATCTTTCTACAGTACATGTTGTGGGTTATCATTTCTACAATTTTAAGAGTTATTCTTTATAATGGTGTGGGCTATCTTTCTACAGTACATGTTGTGGGTTATCCTTTCTACTATTTGAAGAGTTATTCTTTATAATGGTGTGGGTTATCTTTCTACAATACATTTTGTGGGTTATCATTTCTACAATTTTAAGAGTAATCCTTTATAATGTTGTGGGCTACCCTTTCTACTATTTTTGACTTATCCTTTATAATGTTGTGAGTTCTCTTTCTACATGTTGTGGGTTATCAATCTTCAATTTTCGGGTTAACCTTTATAATGTTGGGGGTTGACCATTTTACAATTCGTAGGTTATCGTTTATCATTTTGTGGGTCAACCATTCTACATTTTGTAGGTTATTGTTTTTAATTTTGTGGGTTATCTTTTTACTCTTTGTAGTTTATCCTTACCTCATTTTGTAGGTTATATTTCTATAAAACTACTCATGGAAACTTACATAACTTTGAAATCTTGACGAAGTATAAATCAATACTGGTTGTTGTTTATAGGGATTTATGCTATCACAGAGGGCACTCATTTTTGACATTTACTTATGTTATTATGTTTACAATGTCGTACCAAGACATCGTGTTTGAGGGCGCATTCCCCACCCTGTACGTCATTTCCGGGACAGCTAATGTCTTTGATTCGTGTATATTGGCTGGCATTTAATTGTGGACAAATCCTTTATATACAAACTAGTTAATGCGACAGACAACCCGTCAGGAACAGCTCAACACCGGATAAGATATGGGGGTGGGTCGCTTTATTGCGGCCATCCTTCAATCATAATTATCGATTAGCTTTCCTCTCGCATAGCTACGAGCGCGCGCTGCAATTTGTCCACACTTACATAGTATCAGTAGATGTGCACGTGTCTGTGTACGACAGGTAACGTATAGTGGACAGGGATAAAGTGGAGAGATAATACGTTAACAAAACTACACTGAAAGGTAGGCTTCACAAATATTCTATTTTTCTTTTATATAAGAATGAGGATTAACCATTCATATGTATTTGTATTGTATTCATAAATGCTTTCTTTGTATTCATTCTCGTTTGTTTACTTTTTAGCATAATTGATGATGATATGCATGATGTTTTAAATATATTCACTATACCGATGTTAAATCAATTGATTTCGTAGGAGCAATGGTACAGAAATACCTTATGAAGCTAAAATATCTCACAAGGACCTGATATTTATTATGAAAGTATTTGTGTTAAACATGTACATAACTGTACTTTGTACGTATCCTGGTGTGAAGGAACTAGTATTTGACTACCAAGGGGTTGTAGTCAACACTCGTTAAAACTACCAACACCATAAAATGGTTTATGATGCAGTATACTCCATAATTGGGGTTGCATTTTTACCGAGTGTTGACGTAAAACTTACTACGTTTACTGTATTATTACACGTCAGGGTCCAGACATACAATGTACCTACTTAAACAAATGTAGTTGCCTATGTTAACAGATGTATACAAATATCTGCTTTAAACTACACGTAAGACATGCTGACAGGACGCCATGGCGTGTCGTCATTGGGATGTATACCAATCCCAATAGGATTTTAGTACGATAACGTTCATAGAATATCAATAACACCTCCTATTTAGAACTCAATCGGATCACTTCGCCCTGTTCCGTCGCTAGCTCGAAAAAAGCTTCGGAGGTAAGCGTATGAATACTGCTCAATTTGAGTTTAGCGGAGGTTTCGAAGTAATCAGACACGTATAATGTAAATCTGAAAAAGGTTTTGGTTTGACTCTGGAACATGTCTAAAGAATATCTAGATACGCCAAAACAAGAAATAGGTTTTGAGTTTGATTTTAATGGGAAGCAAGTAAAGACTCTTAAAACGTCGTATTAAATGCTTTACATCGAATGCCATGAACTACCGGGTACAGAAATATACCCAAAATGTCATTTTATAGGCATTCTTGTCACTTATAGCATTACACAATTTGCTCTTCGTTTCTTCGCATGAACGACAGTAAGAAGAAAGATGCAAACTTTGTTTACGGCATGTGATCAAAAATAATTTCAACATGTCTTCTATTTACCTCTGAGGTGTCCCACAGATTTAGAGCTATGTCTGCCTAATATATTGTATACAAACCATACAGTTTATACTGAGGGATGTACTTTTTTTAGATTTATTTTTAATAAAAAAAACCTTTACAGGACTGTGTCTATAAAAATCAATACCATTCTAGGACTGAATTTCTAGAGAGTATCAATAACACATTATATTGTGGACTATCAATAAAACGTCCTACTTATGACTTTGGACAGAGGAAGGGCTCACAAAGTAATTATGTGTATACGTCTAGCATGCGTTTACCATACTTTTGTTTTACACGTGAGAGTGGAGTCGTTAAATCAAATTGTATGGAGCGTTCACTCTGTGTTTACAATGCTTCAGATACATTCAATAAAAGGATTCCAAATGTATAAACTCAACATTTAATGAATAAAGCATTGTACAGTGAGTGACATATATTTTACTGCGGTCGTCAGATACTTACTCCGTTTACTTGTAATACTCTGAAAATTACATACAGTTGTATGCTTTTTTTCTGTTCAAGTAACTGCCTTTATAAAGCTGCTCCAGACGGGTCTCAACAAGATCTATTTTGTTGAATATCAAAAGCCCGAACATTTTGTTGTTGATAACAGTTTTTTACCATTGTGCTAATGATCGTGTAGTAATAACCATGTTTCCAGTTGTACGATAGGTGATCTACATGTATTTGCTACACACGGGTTACGTTCTGTGTGACGCCATTAAAGTTCCATTAATTAAAGCTTGAAATGAGTCTGTTGACGAGGTCTAAAATGTACGCCATAAAAAAATCGACATTCTGAACGTGTGCCATTAAGTATGTAATATAGTGTGGCATATTTAATCAAATGAAATCATAGTTACAGAAATGATTTGATATAGTAGATATGCACGCAAGGATGTCAAGCATGTAAAGCAGAACTCAATTCCGTATGCATTTTAAAAGTCATAGGTTATTCTGAATACAATGCTAGTGAAAAGTGTTAAAAGTGTATAACATGACAAGCGCATTCATAGCATCCCAGAATGTTATGATGGAATGGCACACCATATGCAAATCATATATCGATCTAGGCTATTTAACCTTCGTATCCTTTTAGTAAATCACCGGGGCAATTAACGATGCATTTTGTTCATTTCCAAAGCCACATCAATCTTGGTTTGAGACCGATCCGCCTTTTGTACACCTGGTAAAAGAGCAATTAAGCTCCGCTTGACCTAGGTATAGAAGTGAACTTCAGATAACACGTACTGTAGTTCGTAGCATTCAGTTGAGTAGCCAAAGAGATTGACATGCTATACAAGTAAGCCCAGTGACCTCTTTTATGAAGATATTGATCAGCCCTCAATTCCTGATAACTGACCACGTTAACATCGTTCTGTACATGTACCATTTTGAGAATGTGTCCAAATTAACAATCTGGATTCCGATGTGTAACTGGGGTCTTTAAACATGACTTATCAGGGAGTGGAATTTAGGGTGACGATACCATCACCTGTAGGACTTTTTGAACATTAAACACGGAAGTGTCACCAGAGATATTACGGTAAACTTTTTAAAGTGACGTGCATGATGATTAAATTTGATGAAGACAGAAATAAATACCTTACGGTAAAGTTTCTACAGTTATGGTCAAATATAAAAATGCAAGTTCATAGAGCACACCGAAAACAACAAAGATCAAATTAAAAAATATTGTGGCATTGCTGTGCAGTATAATTTAAACACTTCAAAAGAGAATCGATCAAAAGTCAGCATAAATGATGTGACATAAGCGTAAAGTTTACCTTGATCATCACAAATATTAAAACAATATTTTGACTTTACGGTAAAGTTTAAGCAGTCATGAACATCACAAAATGTCAGCAGAAATAAAACGCCACTACGGTAAAGTTGAAACCATCATAGTGGTAGGACGCCGGGCTTGTGACCGAAGGGTTGCGGGTTCGCGTCACGGCACGGCAATGTGTTGTATCCTTGAGCAAGATATTTTACTCTGTTTGTTCCAGTCTACTCAGCTGTAAATGAGTACGTGGTTGGTCAGTGCTAGAATTGTTGAATGCTAGCTGTAAGCGCCGAAATGGCAGCTCCGGCTGTCATGTATACTCCCCAGGGAGATGAGAAATATACTGGCTAGTTGCAAAGGCCCTATAACCACGGATAATAATTTGTGAACCGCTTTGAGACGACCTACGAACTAGGTTGTGATAAAGCGGTATATAAGAACCTCCAATTATTACAATTAATAATTATAGTCAATACAAAGATCAGCAGAGATGACGTGGCAGAAATAGAATGACATTGCTGTGAAGTTTAAACCATTACAATCAAAGGTCAACACAAATAGCGTGATACTGCGGTAAAGTTTAAACAATCATGATCAACACAAAAGTAAACAGAAACAATGCTTCTTTGCATTTAAGATATACGAGCACACATTATTGAACACGGATAACAACAGTGCTATTATACATGTACAATGTATGCTATTAAATGTAATTTTCTAAATTAGAAACATTTCAACAATTTCTTATTTTCTTATTTTGCAATGTGATAACAAATATTTAATTAATATCAAATAGCGAACTTTACAAAACTCGCGCTGATTTAAGCTAATCATTTGAAATTTAATTCAGACCTTGAGGATTTTGTTTTGAGAACTTACGGAGTGACGAAGTCTCTCTGTAGTTATCTAATCAATGATGGCCCCCGGATCAGAAACTGCCTGTCAGGAACTGTGGCCGTTTTTACTGGAGGCATGTGAAATCTCATTTAAAATTGACAAGGAAATCGGATTTGTTTGGTTTCAGTGACGTTTAGAATTGGATTCAAGTTACAAGTATTATAAGAGTTGAGAGTATGATTTATTTTTGAATTCGACCCGGATTATAATTTCGTATGAGTAACGTTTTTAACTACCTGGCATTACTCAAATGAGACATGTTATCTCTTAAGTCGTAACGTTAAAAAGAAACCTTCACATTGGGAATGATGGGTAATCCTCGTCTCCTTTGTAACATCTGATTGGTGTATTCAGTATGAATAAACATTAAACAAATCTGCATAAATGTATATAAAAAGGTCCCATGAATAATAAAGGCAGTAAATACCTATTATTTGTACTGGATCCGAATACACTGTATTATTGTTTATAGGACGGAAGTGCTACATGAAGCTTTGCCCTTTTTTTCTTGTGTTGAGGGTTTTTCGTCCACATAACAGCTAGCATGTAGGTCATGTAGTATAGGGTATAAACTACAAAGATCCTAATACTTACAAACGGTCATCACACGAAACCCCATATGGTCTACAACGGGGAAAATTATTCAATGATGCGTGTTTCGCTTTGCAAGAACATTGAATAACGTTTACATGTACAGTATTTCTCACAACAAGGACGCTTTTCTTAGTTCTACCGAAAGTTAAAAGTTGAGAAGAGTGACGTTGTTGTACATGTAGGAAAAAGTCACATGGTCATGATATCAAATAAAGCCAATCTATTTGTGATAATCGGGTTTACTTAAATTTATGTTTTTTCGTGCTCCTCTCACTGTCTGTGGGGTTATCATATTTAGTAGTATAACGGATGTATGTAAATGTTTATAGAAAAGTAAGCCACGCCATGATTTCTGTATGCTTACCTACGTCGTTATTTTGTTTCAAAAATGGCTTTTGTAAATCAATTGCAAGGATATAGTGACGTATACAATTGTTTGTTTATAGTATGACGTGGCCAATGTTCATACATACATTCTTACGTTTACGGCGAAGGTTCCCACCACTTGTCTAGCATGTGTAGCTGAGCTTTGTGCTTTCCTGCCCTGGTTACATAGTATGAAGCCGTAAAATTTAGGAACACGACATTTTGATACATTATTTAT